TAAATGGTTGGGTTGGTTTAAGTTGCTGTGCTTTGATAATTAGTGATGTTGCATACCTTTTAATTTGTTTATAGTCTCATTCAAATCTGTTGTTTTTTTTTTTTTATTTTTTATTTTTGCCTTTTTCTCTGTTGAGTTGTCTATCTTACTTTCTTTTTAATTTAATTTTATTTTTCTAAGATGGGATTTCACCATGTTGGTTGGGCTGGTCTTGAACTCCCGACCTCAGGTGATCCTCCCTCCTTGGCCTCCAAAGTACTTGGATTACAGGTGTGAGCCACCGCGCCCAGCCTATCTTACTGATTTTCGAGAATTCTTTCTATGTTCTAGTTATTGGATCTCTGTTGGATAAGTGGTTTACAGGTTCTAATTCGATTCTGTGTTTCCTTTTCACTTTTGATGTTTTTTGATGAGTGGTTTTTTAAAAATCTTACTATAGTTTAATTTCTCTATTTATGGTTGTGCTTTTTGTATCCTGTCTAATAAATCTCTCCATATTCTAAGGTCAAGGTTCATTATTATATTTTTACCTCTGTGGGGTAGTTTTGGTTTATATTCTGTAAAATAGTTTTTTGGCTACTAAGTTTTATCTGCTTTATTCCCTAAGATACAACATTCTATTCCTTTTCAAGGTTCAACAAAGTTTGGAAAAGATTTCTAAACTGGAACAGGAAAAAGAACATTGGATGTTGGAAGCACAGTTAGCCAAAATCAAGCTAGAGAAAGAAAACCAGCGAATTGCAGATAAGCTGAGGAGTACAAGTAGTGGCCAGTTGGTTGGGCTGGCCCAGGAAAATGCTGCCGTGTCAAATGCTGCTGGCCAGGATGAAGCCACAGCTAAGGCTATGTCAGAGCCCATTCAGAGCACCAGTCTAGTGAGTGTCTTCTTGGTTGCCCTCAGTTTTCTCTTAAATGCTAATTAGTAATGATCTAATGTTCAACGTTAACCATTGTCTTAGTTCATTCAGGCTGCTATATCAAAATACTATAAACTGAGCATCTTGTAAACCACAGAAATTTATTTCTCACAGTTTTTGAGGCTGGGAAGTTCAAGATTAAGGTGCTGGGAGATTCACTGTCTGGTTAGGGTCTGTTTTCTGGTTCATAGACAACAGTCTTTTCATGGTGTTCTCACATGGCAGAAAGGTCAGATGAGCTCCCTGGGGTCTCTTTTGTAAGGGCACTAATCCTATTAGGTTACTTCCCAAATGTCCTACCTCCTAATACCAGCACCTTGGAGGATAGGATTTCAACATGTGATTCTGGGGGTGGGAGGGGACACAAACACCAGGCTACAGTAACCATCTTAATTACACATTAGATCATAACAGGAGTGATCCATATGCGTTAGAAAAAAAGCAGGGTAGTAAGCAGGATATCTCATTCAAAAAGTAACCATGAGGGCCGGGCGTGGTGGCTCACGCCTGTAAACCCAGCACTTTGGGACGCCGAGGCAGGTGGATCACGAGGTCAAGAGATCGAGACCATCCTGGTCAACATGGTGAAACCCCATCTCTACTAAAAATACAAAAAATTAGCTGGGCATGGTGGTGCGTGCCTGTAATCCCAGCTGAGGCAGGAGAATTGCCTGAACCCAGTGGGGGGAGGTTGCGGTGAGCTGAGATCACGCCATTGCACTCCAGCCTGGGTAACGAGCAAAACTCCGTCTCAAAAAAAAAAAACGTAACCATTAAATTTTCTGTGATTTTTACATGAGACTTCCTCATGGTGAGGGCTATGTTCTTGGAAAAGATACAGTAAGTTAAATTTAAGATGATTCTGTTTTTCTATAAAAACATTTATAATATGGGGTTATTATGTTTCTATCAAAGGACCGAACACCTAATGTTTTTAATAGAAATAACCACAGGAGCTGGGCGCAGTGGGTCATGCCTATAATCCCAGCATTTTGGGAGGCTGAGGCGGGTGGATCACGAGGTCAAGAGATCAAGACCATCCTGGTCAACAAGGTGAAACCCTGTCTCTACTAAAAATACAAAAATTAGCTGGGCACGGTGGTGTGCACCTGTAGTCCCAGCTACTCAGGAGGCTGAGGCAGGAGAATTGCTTGAATCCAGGAGGCGGAGGTTGCGGTGAGCGAAGATCGTGCCATTGCACTCCAGTCTGGGTAACAACAGCGAAACTCCGTCTCAAAAAAAAAAGAAAAGAAAAGAAATAACCACAGGAGGCCGTGCCCGGTGGCTCACGCCTATAATCCCAGTACTTTGGGAGGCCACAGCAGGCAGATCACCTGAGGTCAGGAGTTCCAGACCAGCCTGACCAACATGGAGAAAACCCCATCTCTACTAAAAATAAAAAATTAGCCGGTCATGGCGGTGCATACCTGAAATCCCAGCTACTCAGGAGGCTGAGGTGGGAGAATTGCTTGAACCTGCGAGGTAGAGGTTGCAGTGAGCTGAGATCGCGCCTTTGCACTCCAGCCTGGGCAACAAGAGTGAAACTCCGTCTCAAAAAAAGAGAAACAACCACAGGAAGCCGTGAGTGGTGGCTCATGGCTATAACCCCAACACTCTGGGAGACTGAGGTGGGTTAATCACTTGAGCCCAGGAGTTTGAGACCAACCTGGGCAACCTAGTGAGACCCTGTCTCTACCAAAAGTGAAATAAAGCAAAAACAAGTAATATTAATAAAAAAGAAATGACCACAAATACAATTTTTACCCAATTTTATATGATATATTCCTAGAGAGTATAAAGCTTTGTAATATACATATACTATAGAAACCCATCAGGTTGTTTTTTATGAGGCAGAATGTTGGCACATAATCTTGCAACTTTGTATTTCTTGCCTTATTGGTAATTGCAGTGATTTAGAAAGTGAAGAAACATTTCTATTGATGTTATAGAACTTTTTACTTTTAAAAATGTTTTCTAATTATATTGTTCTGCTCACTGTAAAAAATTAGGAAAATGTAGAAAAAGAGAAGTCAGGAAGGAAAAACCCTTGTGATCAAAGGAGTCTTTTAGGTGTATTTTCTTTAACAAGCCTTTTTTTTTTACAAGCTTGAAGAGCTTGAGAGCCACAGTGCTTCTTGAAGATCCTGTCCTAAGGCCTGTGCTTTTCTGCTCACTTTACTCCTGTAGCTCACTGATGCTATTGAAGAGCAAGTCATGGTTCTTCCACCTAATTCAGAGCATACCTGCTAGTTAAATATACAAACCAGATTTTATCTTCAGACCTTATCACATCTTAACAGTGTCAGAATCTTAGATGATTGTGAATTTTCCTAGATATGGTAATGATATTATTATTTACCTTTTAGAGATGGATTTCAATGTACTTAGGGTAGGGTATCAAAATGTCTGCAACTTATGCTCACATGTTTAGAAAAAAATACATCCGCCCAGATCAGTAAAGCAAAATGAGCATACTAATAATTATTGAATCTAGATAGTAGATAAACAGATGTTTACTATACTCTTTACCCCCAACTTTTCTATATGTTTAAAATTTTTTATAATAAAATACAGAGGAGAAAAAAAGAATTACTGTTTGTTCTTGCAGGTATGGGAAAAGAACAAGACTTAAAATTTTTAGAAAAGCAAAAAATAGAAAATAAGAAACATTTAACCGGGTGCGGTAGCTCATGCCTGTAATCCCAGCACTTTGGAAGGCCGAGGCGGGTGGATCACGAGGTCAAGGTATCGAGACCATCCTGGTCAACATGGTGAAACCCCAGCTCTACTAAAAATACAAAAAATTAGCTGGGCATGGTGGCGCATGCCTGTAATCCCAGCTACTCAGGAGGCTGAGGCAGGAGAATTGCCTGAACCCAGGAGGTGGAGGTTGTGGTGAGCTGAGGTCGCACCATTGCACTCCAGCCTGGGTAACAAGAGAGAAACTCCGTCTGAAAAAAAAAAAAAAAAGAAGAAACATTTAAAAATAAAAACAAAACAAAAACCCCAAAACAACAACAAGAATTAAAATTTTTAGAAAAGCAAAAACGTAATCAACAAATAAAAAGTTCCTAGTTTGGTTGTCCATGAATGTTCATGACCAATGGTCATGTTGACCTTGAATGGTCACCATGCTCAACAGGCCAGTCATGTAGTGGTCACCAAAGGCAAGTCTTTGTCCCAGCCACAAGTCCTGCATGTTGGCTCTAACAGGGCAAGAGGACAGTTTTTACCCCCATATCAATGGTTTAGCCTTAAGCTACAGTACGTAAATGAGGTAATGAGAGGGACATTCAACAAACAAAAGAATTCCAACATCCATCCAAGTGGCATTTGGGATACTGCCCCCATTCACTTGCCTTTAGACTTTTCCTTCAGAGTCTGTCTCAAATGATGGGGTCACACTGTTCATTGTGTCTGATTTCTTCTCCTCCAGCTCCATTGCCTACATTTGTTCCTTCCTTCTTCTTACACTTTCATTAGCAGAGTTGGTGGTGGCCAGACTAGACCAGGGAGTGTGCTGCAGACAATGACATTGTAATTATAATAATCGTGTGGCTGACACTGGTCTCTAAGGACTTTTCCAGAGTATTAGTCAATCAGTCACTCCTCACACAAGATTACAGGTATATCATAACTCCATTTTATAGTTAAGGAAACCAAGGACCAAAGAGATAACTCACATGAAGTCACACACTTGATAAGTGATGGGATGTCTGGTCCCGTGCCCTGCCCTCTTAACCAAGATGGCCTTGTGTCTGATGCATGTCAGAAAACAATTAGATGGCATAAATTCATTTGTTAGCTGGGTGTGGTAGCCTACCCCTGTTGTCCCAGCTACTCCGGAGGCTGAAGCAGGAGGATCTTTTGAGCCCAGGAGTTTGAGGCTGCAGTGAGTTATGATTGTGCCACTGTACCCAGCCTGGACAACAGAGTGAGGCCCTATCTCTAAAAAAACACAAAAATAAAAATTAAATAAACTCATTTGCTTACTGCTTCCCTTACTGAGGTGATAGAATTGATAACACCAGCATATATATATATATATATATATATATATATTTTATAAATTAATAAAAATTTTAAGACATGGGATGCTTCATGAATTTTCATGTCATCCTTGAGCAGGGGCCAGGCTAATCTCTGTATTGTTCCAATTTTAGTATATATGCTGCTGAAGCTAGCACAATGCTGATAATATTTGAGTTGTTTATGTCGGTTGCTGAAAGTTTGGGATTATCTTTTTATTTGAACATTTTCAAAGGAAAGCTCTATTCTTACATATGTAAGTGAAAAATATTTCTAGGGACATGAAAAATCTTCAGTACTGAACACTATTGGCCCATAAGTGATAATGACCTTATTTGGGTTTGGTGGCTTTAGAAGCTGCTATTTAAATCAACTAGTTAGTGTAGGGGCGGAAAGGACCCAATACCTTTCCACCTATCATAAAGGTCACAGCCAGCACTCCTGTAACAAAAGACAGATTAACTACCAAAAGCAGATTTCTACCAAAAATAACTTGGAGTCTTGCCTTGCACACAGTGCAATAGAAATAAAAAGAGATTGTGGAGTTTTCTGTTTTCGTTGATGTTTCTACTTTTCAGCCTTTCTTTTTACACCCGCACCCCTTAAGTGACCCTTAAGTGAACTAATTGTGTAGCTGTGTGTGTGTTTGTCTTTGTGTCTTTTCTGTCTTCTTCCTTTTGGGTGTTGGGAGCAAGTTTGTGCCCATTTCAATGTTAATAGATTAACAAAGGAAATTTATCTTACAGGGAGATTACTTTGGTTTGGACACTTTGAAGCTGAAAAAGTAACCTCAAATGGAAACTTATTTAACTCTTGAAATGTTGCAGAGTTAGAAATGTTTGTTATTTTTAGCCAAATACCTACTTTTATAATTTGAATAGTCAACCACCTATTATATATTATTAAAAAATAGCAATAATCTTAAAGTAAAAGCACAGAACAATACACATTTCCGTTTTTTGCTGGAATTGAAAAGCATTGCTTAAATTAATAGAATTTTTTTTTTTTTTTTTGAGACAGAGTCTCGCTCTGTTACCAGGCATCAGGCTGGAGTGCAGTGGCTTGATCTTGGCTCACTGCAACCTCCACCTCCTGGGTTCAAGCAATTCTCCTGCCTCAGCCTCCCAAGTAGCTGGGACTATTAGGCGCGAGCCACCACCCCCAGCTAATTTTTGTATTTTTGGTAGAGATGGGGTTTCACTATCTCCACCGTGTTGGCCAGGCTGGTCTCAATCTCTTGACTTCGTGAAGACTTCGTGATCTGCCTGCCTCGGCTTCCCAAAGTGTTGGGATTACAGGCGTGAGCCACCGTGCCTGGCCAAATTAATAGAATTTTTAAACATATATTTTAAGTATAAAGATGACATTATCAGGCCGGGAATGGTGCTTCACGCCTGTAATCCCAGCACTTTGGGAGGCCGAGGTGGGTGGATCACGAGGTCAGGAGTCAGGGACCAGTCTGGCCTACATAGTGAAACCCTGTCTCAACTAAAAATACAAAAAATTACCCAGGTGTGGTGGTTTGTACCTGTAATCCCAGCTATTTGGGAGGCTGAGACAGGAGAATCAAGTGAATCTGGGAGGTGGAGGTTGCAGTGAACCGAGATCATACCATCGCACTCCAGCCCAGGCGACAGTGCGAGACTTCATCTCAAAAAAAGAAAAAAAAAATCCTGAATAATCAAGCCACTACTGTTAACATTTCTACCCTACTAAATGTCATATATAGTTGAGATTGTACTACATAAAATTTCAAATCTTAGCATAATGTTAAAACATTGGTTGGGCATGGTGTCTCACACCTGTAATCCCAGCACTTTGGGAGGCCAAGGCAGGTGGAACGTGAGGTCAGGAGTTTGAGACCAGCCTGCCAACGTGGTGGAACCTCGTCTCTACTAAAAATGGAAAAATTAACCAGGCGTGGTGATGAGCACCTGTAGACCCAGCTACTCGGGAGGCTGAGGCAGGAGAATCGCTTGCACCTGGGAGGTGGAGGTTGCAGTGAGCTGAGATTGCCCGATTGCAATCCAGCCTAGTGACAGAGTGAGACTCTGTCTCAAAACAAAAATAAACCATAAACATCCTATTATGAGAAACTCAGTATAAACTTATTGATTTCATAGTATGCCATATGTATTTATACCTTAGTTTACCTATGATTGGACATTGGTTATAACTTTCGCTACTTTAAATAACATCTTATTTGTATGTGTAAGATTATTTCTGCATGTTAAATGATTACCTCAGGATGTATTCTCAGGGTTGGAATTACTAGATCAGAAGACATGAATATTTTCAAATTCCTTGATTTTTATTACCAAATTATTATTATTATTTTTGAGACGGAGTTCGCTCTTCTTACCCAGGCTGGAGTGCAGTGGCGCGATCTCGGCTCACCGCAACCTCCGCCCGCTGGGTTCAGGCAATTCTCCTGCCTCAGCCTCCTGAGTAGCTGGGATTACAGGCACGTACCACCGTGCCCAGCTAATTTTTTTGTAATTTTTAGTAGAGCCGGGGTTTCACCATGTTGACCAGGATGGTCTCGATCGCTTGACCTCGTGATCCACCCGCCTCGGCCTCCCAAAGTGCTGGGATTACAGGCTTGAGCCACCGCGCCCGGCCCTATTATTATTATTTTTGATACAGAGTTTCACTCTTGTTACCTAGGCTGGAGTGCAACGGCGCAATCTCGGCTCACTGCAACCTCCACCTCCTGGGTTCAGGCAATTCTCCTGCCTCAGCCTCCTGAGTAGCTGGGATTACAGGCATACACCACCATGCCCAGCTAATTTTTTGTATTTTTAGTAGAGACGGATTTTCACCATGTTGACCGGGATGGTCTCAATTTCTTGACCTTGTGATCCACCCGCCTCGGCCTCCCAAAGTACTGGGATTACAGGTGTGAGCCACCATGCCCAGCCTCCAAATTATTTTTTAAAAGGACTGTATCAGTTTATACTCTTGTTAGTATCATATCAGAAAAATGTTGAAGTAATCTGTGTTAAAAGTTTTCTTTGCATTTATACAATACCATGCTTTTGAAGAACTTGGGGCTGTACCACATTTTCAAATCATAACCTGGGAGTAAGGGGGTGAGGGTGAGCAGGTGTGGATGTTTTCTCACAGTTTAGTTTACAAAATGCAGTCATGGCTGAGCACAGTGGCTCACGCCTGTAATCCCAGCACTTTGGGAGGCTGAGGCAGGTGTATTGCTTGAGGTCAGGAGTTCAAGACTAGCCTGGCCAACATGGTGAAACCCTGTCTCTGAAAAATAAATAAATAAAATAAAATAAAATGCAGTCATACTGGAATATATAAAATTAAATTATTAGAATATTATTGCAAGCAATTTTTAACTAAAAGAGAGTAATTGCTACTTCCACTTCGTTGAGTAGAAAAATTATGGCTCTTCTATTTTAAAAGATCTTATCAAAGACTCTTATAGAGCCAGGTGGGCATAACATTCATTAGTATACATTTAGTTGATACACTCTCAGTGTTCAGAATAATACTCTGGAGGATATTATTTAGACTACATTAAGACTGTTTATTGGGTGTCATCTCTTGTTTACACAATCCATTGACAGTGAGTTTCCAGTAGTTTCCTTGTCATTGTACCCAAGCACATGCAGCACCTCCACCTTGAACAATAACCTGAATTCAGTAATCATGACTATCTGTGTTTGAAATCTTAAACTGTAGAAACAAACTTTAAAAAGATCTAGCTGCAGCCAGGCATTGTGACTTATGCCTGTAATCTCAGAAGGCTGGAGAAGAGGATGACTTGAGCCCAGGAATTCCACGCTGCAGTAAGCTATGATTGCACCAATGTACTGCAGCCTGGGTGACAGAGGGAGACCTTGTGTCTAAAAAAAAATTAGAAAAAAATCTAGCAGGCTGGGCGCAGTGGCTCAAGCCTGTAATCCCAGCACTTTGGGAGTACAAGGCGGGTAGATCACCAGGTTAAGAGATCGAGACCATCCTGGCCAACATGGTGAAACCCCGTCTCTACTAAAAATACAAAAATTAGCTGGGTGTGGTGGTGTGCGCCTGTAGTCCTAGCTACTTGGGAGGCTGAGGCAGGAGAATTGCTTGAACCCGGGAGGTGGAGGTTGCAATGAGCCGAGATTGTGCCACTGCACTCCAGCCTGGCGCCTGGCAACAGAGCGAGACGCTGTCTCAAAAAAAAAAAAAGAAAAGAAAAAGAAAAAAATCTAGCAGCATTTTAATGTGTTTAAAATTACATTTTTGTTTTTATTTAAATCTGAAATTTATGCTTAGTGATAACAACATTATATCAAAAGTAGATTTATTTATTCTTTCTCCTTTTGAGTTTTCAACCAGAGTGTTTACTATTTGTATTTTCTGTTTGGAATGTTTAATTACTATGGTCATCGTAATTTACCCCTTCTTGGCTACTGCTTTGGAAATAGATGTAGGAATGTGGCTAAAAGCTGATCTTCTCCTGTCTCCCAGATGATTTGTTGGGTTTCAGTGAGAATGACTAATCAGCCTTTTGATAGAGGATTTAGTGATGACAATTATTGGTTCCTGCCTCATGGCAGAAATAGTAAGTGCAGTTACCTATCTCCATATTCTGTAGTAAAAGACAATCTGAGAATGATCTTCTAGTACTGTACCCTCAATGCTGTGTAAAACCGTGTGAACAGAGAAGAAAAAATATTATGAGTGTATGACCTATTGTGCTTGAAATGTATACTGTGTTCTAAAATATTTTTTTTCTTATGTTCTAGATTGGGACTTTAACCAGGTCATCTGACAGTGAGGTAATATGTGCTTGTCATCACGTTGTTTCTTAGTAAATATGTAGCAGCATGTCTGTCAACGAAGTCCTGCAAAAGCCATCTTGGTCCAATTGTTACTATTTTTTCCTGACACTTCTGTCAAATGTGGAGGCAGTGTTTTCCACCTTCATCGATGGATCCATGTTGCTTTTCTCTGGTTCTGTTTTGACAGTCACCAACAAATTATAGCCTGTTTTTGTAATTGCCTTTTAGAGGGACTTACCTTGGAAATTTGACACGGTGTGGCTCCTGCTTGGGCCTTCATTTGTTGGCCTTCTACATGAGGCTGAGAGCTGTGTTAGTCCTCCCCAGTAGGCAGCTGGAAAAGCACAGCTTAGCAGGCCTTCTCAGGG